ACATAATGAAGACGAAACCCCGCTCTGGTGCGAATTGAAATTTGATACTTGAACACCAAGTATCCAGAGTTGCACGCAAATCGAATAGACATACAGTAATGAAGATTCAAACTTGTGGAAGCAGTTTTCACTAAAAATTGAACCTTCAGGAGAGCGTCCCACTCTCCCTTCAGATCTCTTTCATTAATGTGAACAACTCATACATCATCCAAGGGTTTACAGTATAGACTCCCTCTACACTCTACTTGAATAATGATTCATACAACTACTTATCCGACCAAAACTCCCTTGTGGATTTTCTAGTTCGAATCCCTCAAACTATAAGAACGAACCTCCGAATGTTCTTTTACAAAATGTTCTGAATATAACTCTTTTTCACTCAAAGAAACAAAAAATATTTAACTCAAAAATGCAGATAAAAAAAAGTCGCCCTCAAATCTGGTCTCGTCCTCCTTTTATCTTCAGCATTGATGGGACAAAGATCCCGGCTCCCTCGACTCGGACGGCCACCGTACCTGCAAGAACCCAAAGTCCGAGACCCCAGGAGGGGTGCCTGGCTTTTGGCCTCCGATGCTTAAGTCAGTACTGGATTCATGCATATAGAGAGAGAGTGTGTAGAGAGAAGAAGTGTAGTAAGGGAATGAGTAGTGAATGTAGGAAATGAGTACCTTAGCCCCCCTTTTATAGGGGGAGTGTACCTTATAGTCCAAATTGGGCTTGGCCTAAGTTGGGTTTTGCCCATATTATCATATCAAGTGTCTTAGCCCATGTATGGGCGTATTCTTCAATATATATCCATAAAACCCAGTCGGGTATGACATGTTATATCAGATACTACCGGTCGAGCCGGCAGTACTAGCTGTGGCTATATCATCTAGTGCCCCCCACTCTGGTCGAGTGAGCATAACTCGATCCAAGAGTGAAGTAGAACAACTCGCCGCTGGAGTCAAACACTGAAAACCGAATGGTTGTAGAAGTCGAAAGTTAAGTGACCCGCCACTAGGGTCAAGCACCGGAAGCCGAGATTCGAGAGACCGCTAAGGTCGAAAACCGAGAGTCGAGACCGTTGAGGTCGAGAATCGAGAGTGGGGACTGTTGAGGTCGAAAACCGAGAGTCGAGACCGTTGAAGTCGAGAACCGAGAGTCGAGACTGTTGAGGTCGAGAACCGAGAGTCGAGACCGTTGAGGTCGAGAATCGAGAGTTGAGACCGTTGAGGTCGACAACCGAGAGTGGATACCGCTGAGGTCGAAAACCGAGAGTCGAGACTGCTGAGGTCGAGAACCGAGAGTGGAGACCGTTGAGGTCGAGAATCGAGAGAGGAGACCGTTGAGGTCAAAAACCGAGAGTTGAGACCGTTGAGGTCGAAAACCGAGAGTCGAGACTGCTGAGGTCGAGAACCGAGAGTGGAGAACGTTGAGGTCGAGAATCGAGAGAGGAGACCGTTGAGGTCGAAAACCGAGAGTTGAGACCGTTGAGGTCGAAAGCCCGAATCGAGAATCGAAAGACCGTTGAGGTCGAAAGCCGAGTAATCGAGAGACCGCTGAGGTCGAAAGCCCGAATCGAGAATCGAGAGACCGTTGAGGTCGAAAGCCCCGAATCGAGAGTCGAGAGACCGTTGAGGTCCAAAGCCTAGTAATCGAGAGACCGTTGAGGTCTAAAGCCCGAACAGAGAATTGAGAGACCGTTGAGGTCGAAAGCCCCGAATC